AAGAGACTACACCAGGGATGACGATCAATCATCAAAGGAAGACATCACTTCCAGTGCCAACCTCACCAAGTGATCTCATGATCGCTCATCCTACATCTTTATCTTCCAATAACAGCGGTGGGTCAGCAGGAAAATCCGTTAAGTTCCTCTCTCAGCCGGTGACCAAAGTCCCATCCCTCTACATAGAAACGAGCAAAGATAGTGATGATGATAGTCTTCGCCATGATAATCATCAACATCATCATCAGCATCTACATCATCATCAGCAACATCACCAGAGTGGCCAACTTCAAAATCAAAAGCATGCGTCGCATAAGCTTAAGGATCAAAGGTACAACTCATTTAAGACTTGGTCAGGGAAACTCGAGAGACAATTCACAAGAAAACATACTTCTATACCGGAGACACCACACCGGGCTAAGGAACATTTAAATACTAATGAAGCCATGCCTGTGGACCGATACTTTGCTGCCTTAGAAGGTCCTGAACTGGAGACTCTCCGGGTACTTTACCTACACTTGTTTTTATCACATTTACTCTTATGAAGTTCGCTTCAATCATATAGCTTAACATATGACTAACTATGCGGAATTATAGAGCCTGAACAATGAATGAACTAAGTAATATTGATTCTAGAAGTGACTTAAATCTGAGTGTATCAGTACAATATAACTATACTTTTAGTAGATAAGAAATATTTTTTTAAACGGATAAAAAAAATCATATGTTAAGTATGTATAAATACAGGTGTAGCAGATTGTAAATTATTAATTCACATAAACAATATAGAAACCCTAAAACCGATATTTGACCCAATTGTGTTTTCTCTCTAAATGTTCTTATTTTCTTTTTTTTTCATTCTCCTTTGTTCATAATAAAAATCTATCTAACTATCATTTCTTATTTTCCGGAAGTTATAGTCTCAAGAAGAGATCGTTCTACCAAGTGAACAAACATGGCCATTTCTTCTCCGCTTCCCAATATCCACCTTCGGTGTGTGCCTTGGAGTGGGCAGCCAAGCCATGATGTGGAAAACCCTAGCCACTGCGAAGCCAACAAGGTTCCTACACGTATCCCTCTGGGTACACCGGAGTCTTTGGTTCATCACGGTCGCATTAGTTCTCATCATTGCCACTATTTACCTCCTCAAAATCATCCTCTACTTCGAAGCCGTACGCCGAGAATACTACCATCCCATAAGAATCAACTTCTTCTTCGCGCCTTTCATTTCATTACTCTTCTTAGCCCTAGCGGTCCCACCTTTCATAGTTAAAGACTTGCCACAGTTCGTTTGGTACGTCCTCATGTTTCCTTTCATCTGTCTCGAGCTCAAGATTTACGGACAGTGGATGTCGGGTGGTCAACGCAGGCTCTCCCGAGTCGCCAACCCGACCAACCATCTCGCAATCGTTGGGAACTTTGTAGGGGCGTTGCTTGGTGCAAGAATGGGCCTTAGGGAAGGACCAATATTTTTCTTCACAGTTGGGATGGCTCATTACTTGGTTCTGTTTGTGACATTGTACCAAAGACTACCGACCAATGAGACTTTGCCTAAAGATCTTCACCCTGTGTTCTTTCTTTTTGTTGCCGCTCCAAGTGTTGCTTCCATGGCTTGGGCTACGATCACTGGCTCCTTCGCCTATGGCTCCAAAGTCTGTTACTTCACTGCCATGTTCCTCTATATCTCCTTGGTACGTTTCCCATCTA